CTCATGGGGCGTGGCCTAAGTGATGTCATCATTCGACCATAGGGTATTGTAGGAGACCCGATGATGATCAATCACAGAAACTTTGGTGCCTCTGTGAGTTTCTGTGTAGGAGATACAGCAGTTTATTTTTTTATGGCGAGTAGGTGAACTTTGACCCCTGCTAACCCCCCTTCAGCATACTCAAAAACTCACCGTTTTGATAACTTTAGATGGGACATGCCTTATGAACAGACTGACCGAGTTTGAAGCCGATCAATCAAAATCCCTAGGAGGAGTTCGATCAAATACCAAGGCTGTAAACGGCAAAAATGGCTTCAAAATTGGACCTTCAATCCAAAATGGCCGACTTCCTGTGATACTTGCACTATGACATTAATTGTAAATTTTGAGCATCTTGGGAAGCTCTACAAGTGTACCAAATTTCATGTCTCTACAATGAAGTAAGTGAATAGCAAAGGGTCCTTTGAAAATTTCTAGGTGGCGCTATTGAGCCATTTGTTGTGGAATTTTTGCGATGACTTTAAAATACGTAAATTTTAAACAGGCTTAAGGCCTCCGCCAAGTTTGGTGAGTTTTTGAATATGATAAAGCCCCCAAAAAGCCAATTCATTTGGAGGGAGAATCATAATAATAATTAAAGCTGCAAGCAGCCTCGAACGGCCCTCGCAGCCAAGCGCCGCTCCGGCCTATTGCCACCGCGGGGTACTAGCAACCGTCGCCTCACGTCAGCCACCACAGAAGCTCTCACGCAGTTTTTCAGCTCCTCCGCCCGCACCGCAGAAGCTGTTGCTCAGTTTCCATCAACGCTGGCCACGTGCTAACACAGAAGTTGTTGCGCAGTTCCGCGCCCGTCCTCCAGGCGGTACGCACTGATGCGTTCGGAGTCGCTCCTTGACGATGCAAAAAATGTGGTGCAGATTCATTGGTTTAGCGAGGAATATAGCTGGCGGATTAATGTAGGACGCGCAGTGGAGTCAAAATATATTTCAATGCTGTTGTTCTTTTTAGAGGTCAACAAAGGTCATACGTATCCAATTTGGCGTCAGTCGGATGATCCACGTGTCATTTACAGCCGATCGTATGCACATGGCGAAGTACTACAGTTCGTCATTTTTCATCATTTTCAGCTGTGTTTCTAAAGCACTCTATTTCATTGTTGGAATAATACTTACTCAGAGTGGCAAATTACTGAAATGGTTTGGAAGAAGTAAGAAAACGCTACATTTACTGCATGATTTAATTCCACAAAAAATTATCTGAGACATTTCTATCCTTTTAGAAATTTCATGCAACGCTCTCACAAAGTTTTCGCGCCCATCCGCCCGTGGATCTGTTTGTCATTGGCGGAGGAACACTGACACCTACTGGCGAAATACTGATATTGTTCTTCATCCTGTTTATCTGCTGTTTCATTTGTGGAGCAATACTGACCCCAAGTGGCAAATTACTGAAATGGTTTATAAACGCCAAAAATGGGATCAAAATCTGAACTTCAATCTAAAATGGCCGACTTCCTCTGGGGTTTAGACCATGGCTCCAAGAGACTTTTTTGTAAGTCCTGACATGGTACACATGTGTACAAAGTTTCGTAATTGTAGGTTAAAGCATGGCTTGGGGCTGATCATTTAAAATTTTCTAGGGGCGCTATAGAGAAATTAGGCCACACCCTACAAATATTGTGATGGATTCCTGTCGGGGAGTGGATGAAGATCCATCCTTGTGAGTTTGGAGCAGCTGCGGCCAAAAATGTGGAATTGAGAGCCAAACGTATGGCGATGGCGTTACAGGTCACTTCGCCACGCCGCCACGCCCAGCTGCTCCATCGAAGCTGGTCGGGGTTGGAATCCTCAACACACCAACATGTCTTCTGTGTCTGGGCACAGTTTCATGTTGATGAGGTCAAAGGGGTCAGATAGCGACCGTTGACAGTAAAACATGACACTTCCTGTTCTCATGGGGCGTGGCCTAAGTGATGTCATCATTCGACCATAGGGTATTGTAGGACACCCGATGATGATCAATCACAGAAACTTTGGTGCCTCTGTGAGTTTCTGTGTAGGAGATATAGCAGTTTATTTTTTTATGGCGAGTAGGTGATCTTTGACCCCTGCCAACCCCCTTCAGCATACTCAAAAACTCACCGTTTTGATAACTTTAGATGGGACATGCCTTATGAACAGACTGACCGAGTTTGAAGCCGATCAATCGAAATCCCTAGGAGGATTCGATCAAATACGAAGGCTGTAAACGGCAAAAATGGGTCAAAATCCAAACTTTAATCCAAAATGGCTGACTTCCTGTGGGGTTTAGACCATGGCTCCAAGAGACTTTTTTGTAAGTCCTGACAAGGTACACGTGTACAAAGTTTCGTAATTGTAGGTTAAAGCATGGCTTGGGGCTGATCATTTAAAGTGTTCTAGGGGCGCTATAGAGAAATTAGGCCACACCCTACAAATATTGTGATGGATTCCTGTCGGGGAGTGGATGAAGATCCATCCTTGTGAGTTTGGAGCAGCTGCGCCCAAAAATGTGGAATTGAGAGCCAAACGTATGGCGATGGCGTTACAGGTCACTTCGCCACGCCGCCACGCCCACCTGCTCCATCGAAGCTGGTCGGGGTTGGAATCCTCAATACACCAACATGTTTTCTGTGTCTGGGCACAGTTTCATGTTGATGAGGTCAAAGGGGTCAGATAGCGACAGTTCACAGTAAAACATTACACTTCCTGTTCTTAGGGGGCGTGGCCTAAGTGATGTCATCATTCGACCATAGGGTATTATAGGACACCCGATGATGATCAATCACAGTAACTTTGGTGCCTCTGTGAGTTTCTGTGTAGGAGATATAGCAGTTTATTTTTTTACGGCGAGTAGGTGAACTTTGACCCCTGCTAACCCCCCTTCAGCATACTCAAAAACTCTCCGTTTTGATAACTTTAGATGGGACATGCCTTATGAACAGACTGACCGAGTTTGAAGCCGGTCAATGGAAATCCCTAGGAGGAGTTCGATCAAATACGAAGGCTGTAAACGGCTAAAATGGGGTGAAAATTTGACCTTCAATCCAAAATGGCTGACTTCCTGTGATACTTGCACTATGACATTAATTGTAAATTTGAGCATCTTGGGAGCTCTACAAGTGTACCAAATTTCATGTCTCTAGGATAAAGTAAGTGAATAGCAAAGGGTCCTTTGAAAATTTCTAGGTGGCGCTATTTAGCCATTTCTTATGGGATTTTTGCAATGACCTTAAAATACAAAATTTTGAAACTCCCTTTACGCGTCCGCCAAGTTTGGTGAGTTTTTGAAAATGATAAAGCCCCCAAAAAGGCCCCTCTTTAGGGGGGCAGAATAATAATAATAAGAAACAGTAGGAAAACAATAGGCCTTCGCAGCGCTTAGCTGCTCGGGCCTAATAATAATAAACAATAGGAAAACAATAGGCCTTCGCAGCGCTTAGCTGCTCGGGCCTAATAATAATAAACAATAGGAAAACAATAGGCCTTCGCAGCGCTTAGCTGCTCGGGCCTAATAAGAAACAGTACAGAAACAATAGGCCTTCGCAGCGCTTAGCTGCTCGGGCCTAATAAGAAACAGTACAGAAACAATAGGCCTTCGCAGCGCTTAGCTGCTCGGGCCTAATTACGAACATGACTATCAGTCCCTTTTATTACTCAACAGATGCCTTTTGGGGTCAGTTTTTTTTTTATCTTTTCCTGTAGACATGCCTTATGATTCTAAAATGAGAAATATTGGTGAACGTCTTTCCTCCTGCTCCTCTGAAAAGCAGGATTTTAGCATCCTTACCGTTTTTACAGTTTCACAAGGTTCCACCCATTTGCATATGTAGGTTTTATCTTTTAACACTTTCTGGAGGGTGCATTACTTTTGTATGGGTTAAGAGCTCTGTGAAAACATTTCTATGCTATTTTACAATCCTATAACTATCTAATCTGATTACTCTTTGGCAAACATTGGTGTCCTTTCAGATTACACAGTGCTGGTAACCCATGTAACAAACTGTACATTTTCTTGTAAATAAAATATGCAACTCTTTGTGATGACTTTTTACATCACAGTACATAAATAACAAGAGTATCTACAAGGGTCAACAAGCCAAAAAATAAAATGCTTCTCATCTGCGATATATAAGGTTTTGTTTTTGGCACAGAATGTAAGTTGGATCTTACGGTTGTAGAACTCTGGTTACAATATGACGAAAATAGATTCGTCATATTGATCAAAGTCGAAATAAGAGCAAATTGACCTTTTCTGAAATTGTAATTTCGTTTTCTTAGCGCGACTTTAATACTCAGTCGTATGAAGCCGAAGTGAGCAAGTGGCGAAAATATGCGATAAGTTTGCACTTAAGATCGACGCAGAAAAGCTAACCAGCTAGTTCGTTAGCACATAGTTAACGGTAGAGTCTATAAATCGCCACGAGACACAGAACGCCATGAAGATCTTTTAGGCGGTCAAACATTTGCCTGACAGAAAAGTCCACAAGATTAAAAAAATATAAACTTTAGAGATGAGATTAAGTAGTCCCAACACAACAAAATTTAAGACTTGTGATTAAAGTCAAATTATTATTATTTTAAGGCCTTATTTTTTAGATACATTTAAGCGTTTTTAAGGATGCGCAGCGTGAACAACCTGAATGCAAGTTAATATCAAACTACAATACTCCAATGGTAGGTTTAAATAATTAAACTAGAACAGTCTTGTTACAGCTAACAAGAATGTTTTAAAATTCCGATTTTAAAATCATTAATGCTGCAATATTAGCTTTCCAAAGTCTTAAGATGACTTAAAAGACAACAACAGCCTCAGGATGTGCATATTTCTGTAATTTTCTTTAAAACCTGGGTTTTCATTTCCTGTACGCCATAATTAACAAAAAGAACAAAAGTAAACATCACTGTGTGATAAATCTGAGTTTGACTTTTTGCAGTTGAACAAATTTTTCATTGACTTTCTAATTACATTTCTGAATCAAATTCAGCTTGACTATTTTTCATTTATTACGTAAAGCTGTCAAAACAAGCAGACAGGTTAGGTGTACTCATACAAACAACCATCTAACAATTAAGATCACAGATTCTACATAAATGTTGTTTTTGGGATCACTGATGCAGCTGGTAGAATGGTTTGTAACTGAATTGAAAGCAAAAACTAAAAAAATGAAAACATTCCTGAATACAGGTGCATTACCACAGTAAGGCTGATATGAATTGAGCTACAGTTAAGATTTTAATGCCGCTTTAATCCAGGTCTTACATGAGTGAACCGTCTACAGTGTTTTCAAACAAAGAAAAGCTGCGTACTCTGCCGGGTTTATTTAACAGTCACACAGAAACCTTCACAAAGCCAATTTTTAAAAACTGAATATAACTGAACGAGGTATTTTCTGCAATAAAAAACTGAAAAGATGAGGTCTGGAGACGGTAACTGCTCACCCTCCAGTCAGCTATCGGTGAAGGAATGTCAAAAAACATTTCGTTTCTTAGATTTGCTGAAACAAATTGCAAATTTGTCCCATGCAAATTTGAAATGGCAGGTATATTTTCATTGCAAAAACACCAAAAAGTACCAAGTATTTTTGGTCTAGTTTCTAATACAAATATCTTGGTACATTTGAAATAAGACAAAATAGCTTCCAAGAAAATTTTCAGAAAAACATAGCTTGTATTAAGTAAATATTTCTTTATTATTGATGACAAAGTGATAGTTCCACTAGCAGGTTATTTCACTTATAAAATGTTTTCTCTCTTATAAGTGAAATAATCTGCCAGTGGACTTCTTTTCAAATCAATATTAAGAAATTATTTACTTAAATATGCTCCTTTGCACTGCCGAAAAGCTACTTCTATGGCTGATTGATATGAATTTAAAATAAAATCAGACTTTTTTCATACTAAACCTAATTTAAATTTTTCTTGTTTTCTAAAAACAGTGTTTTTTCAAAAGTGTTTTTTATTATTGTCTCTTCTGTGAGTTGTACAACAGAGTATTAGGGCCCGGCTTACAAAAATGTTTTTGAGAATATAGTTATGATACACAATTTTACCAGAAAACGTCTTGAAATTAGGAGGGGAAAAAAAAGCTTTAATTAGAAAAAGAAAAGCTTCCAGATCTGTCATGACTAGCTGTGATTCGTCTTCGTTTCAAAGTCCTGCAGCTGATAGTAATTTGATGCTGATATGTCAAAAGATTAAGGACTCACTTATCTGGAAAACCATTAACAAATTTTTTTATTTGAGTTCTAAAAATTATGATTTCGCTTTCCAAATATGACTATTACCGTAATTAAAATAAATCATAGACTGGCCCTAATATTCAGTCATAAAACATACTTGTCAAACAAAATGGCCGCCGCTGGCATCAGTCTGAGCTATGGAAACATAAAGAGTAAACTGGTGGAAAATAAATAAAAAAATCCCACATTTCCCAAAAATCAAATCTTAATTTTGTCTTATTTCAAATATGTTAAAATATCTAGAAACTAGTCAGAAACATTTGGTGATATTCTGTGTTTTTGCAGTTGGACCCGATTCAGACCGGGCATCAGCTTTGGTCCTGGCTGGTCCAATCACATCTGGTTTCCTTCAAATTGGGTTTCCCTTCTCTGTACTGCACTCGCACTTTCATGAACATTCATCTTGAGCTTTTATTTATTTATTTTCATCTCTTTTTTTTCCCAAAAGGATGCTAAGAAAATATTTAATGATTTTAAGAACAAGAATGAGGTCCAGAAGTTTGAATTAGTGCTTAAAAATTTAATTTTCAATTTTTTTAAACCAAAATTTGATTTTTTTTTTAATACAAATGAAAGAGAAGATCTTTAAAAAAAAATTACTTATTTCGGTCATTCTGTAAGTTCACCAGAATTCAAAGTAAATGACACAAACTAGTCAAACAAGATGGCCGCCCTGGGCGTGCTGACGTCACTCTGAACCATGGAGACCAAATGGTGAAAATTACATCTTCAAAAAAAGAAAATTCAATTATCAATAAAACTGATTTATCGCCCAGCCCCAGTTTTACTTTAATTCCATATTCAGGCTCAAATATATACATACATGTTTGAATATTTGGTTAATTGTCCCTGAGTAAGTTGGAGAGAAATCTCACTTTTTGTAGCACTCAAACTTTCTGCATGATGCCTCGTTATTACAAATAGTTCCTGGCATTGACCTGGAATGACCTTGAGATTGACCTTTTAGGCATAGTTCATGAGTTGTCAATAAAGCTGACATCTTTCCGGACCCCTACTTTTCCTTACCATGATGTTGTCACCATCAGTTGGCGGTGCTCTGATGTCTCAATCAGATCTACACTGTAAAAACACAAAATTTGACCAAGCATTTTTGGTCTACTTTCTATTCCAAATATCTTAGTACAACAGAAATGAGACAAACCTAACTTACAAGCCACTTTTCAGCAGGATATACAAGATTGATTTGAGTAAACAATTCATTGATGTTGATGAAAAGGTTCCTAATTCTTCTGGTAGATGATTTCACTTATGAGAAAAATGTCTTGTTATAAGTGAAACAATTTGCCAAATAAATAGTTGTTCTTTTAAATCAAAATTAAGAAATTATTTACTTAAAACACAATTTCTTGCTGAAAAGTTACTTGTATGTTTTGTCTTATTTCACTCATACTAGAAATTAGATCAAAAATACTTGGTAAAATTTTGTGTTTTTGCAGGGTAGCTCAAATCTTTGTCTTTATTGAGCAGAAAACTTAATTTAAATTTTAAGGTGTTTCTTCTATATTTGGTGGTTTTCATGGTTTTTGAATCTCCTCACCGATTACATTTCATCAGGGATGGAAAGTTTTCAAGTATCAATGTTGGGACTGGGATAAAGAGATTTTGAAAATATGTGGATTATGCTTAAAAAATAAAATAAAAATTAGGTCAGTGGCAGAAGGTCATCTAATTTTAATGAACTTTACTAATTCCAACAAGAGCGATGAATTATCCTGGTAAAATTAAGCTAAAACTTAAATTAAAATTTGGAAAGCAATATGTTTTTGTAAATTAACTAGAAGCTAAAAGAGCTGTTTGTATAAATTTGAGCCAAAATGTGTAATTCTTAATCCACAATTTCAAACTTTGTTCACGCAAGTCTTGTTTACAAAAGTTCTTTTTTTGTGCTATTTTATCTTGAAACATTATCCATATAACAGCAAAATGAATGGTCATTGTAACATTTGATGCAAACTGTGTGTAGTGCTACATGTGAAGCAGCTAAATGATCCCTAACACAAGGTATAAATGGTGAAATTTAAAGCCAGGACGCATGCTGCTGCCATGTCAGAACCGGGCCTTGCTGTGATATGCTTTGAAGTCCAACTCCGAGGAAATTTCCAATTTATTTTCATGCAGTTTAATGAGACGCCTGAGGCTTGACAAGCTCGTATCGGCCCACCTGTCCTTCCTGTAAAAGCTGACCAATCAGCTGGTCTTTGTGTACTTTCCGACTGACGACCAGGAACCGGTCCCATCCCTGTCCATAGGACTTGCTGCGCAGGCCGTATTTTTGGGAAATCTGGTGAATCTGCTTGCGCTCGTCGTCAGTGAGTTCGTTGGAGAAGCGGAGGTCGTCCGTTCTGTCCGAGCTAGCGTAATTGCGGATGACGTCCTCAATGTCCCGCTTGCTGAGCAGGTTTCCCGTTTTAACCATTTCCATGCCCAGACCCTCCCTGGAGAACTGCTCCTTGACTCTGATTGGCTCGGCGATGCCGTCGCCATCCCGCCCGAGGCCGCCACCTTTCCAGCCCATCTTACGAAGCAGCTGGTTTCCGATGTTGTCTTCCTTGATCTCCTGCTTCAGCGCATCCTCGCCTGAGCGAGCGAGGATCTGAGAGCGTGAAATGGCGCCATTGTGTCCCTCCTTCCTCAAGTTGGACTTGACGACCGCCTGAGTCTGTCGTAAAGTGGACAGCGCCTCATTCGCCGCAATGTGCTTCACTAACTTCTTCGGCCCGATTCCCGCTGCGACGTACTGCCCTTCCAAGTAAACTTCGCACTTCCAGTGATGATCGGGCAAAACCGAGAATCTGTAATCCGCGGTCACTTTGTTAAACTGAGCCGTGTCGTTGATGATGCAGATGGCGTTGTCGTTATTCTCCAAGATCACAAGCTCGCTCAGTTGTTTCTTTCTGACTCCAAAGGAATCGCCATCTGACTGTGGCGAGAAGCAGTTGCCAGAATCCTGCGGATTATTTCTGAAGGACTGTTTCTGCCAGGGCTGCCGTTGTGCTTGGTTGAGGCGAAGCTTCCTCACGGCCTCCTCGGCGGCGGCATGTTTGGAACTCTTCTTCGTCCCCGTCGCCTGCGCTATCAGCTCGTCCTGCAGGAAGATGCTGCACTGCCACAGGTTGCTGGGCAGCTGGACAAACTTGTAGTCAATCTTCATGCGGTTGAAGGCATTGGAGTTGTTGAGAATGCAGATGGCATCGTACGCATTGTCCATCACCACAAACTCGGTCCAGTGCTTGTTTCTGTCGGGCTCATGTTGGCCCTTGGAGCCCGGCGTCGGCTTGTCCTCTGGGTTTCGGAGTGCCGGCAGGAACGCAGGTGTCGGGCTGTGTGTCTGGCACACGACCATGTCACTGACCACAAGGTGCCTGTATCGTCGCTGCACGATGCGGACCTCCACCGGCTTCAGAAAGAGCTTCACGGCTTGCTCGGATGCGCGGTCTCTCGCGCCGTTTTTGCTGCCGGAATAGCCGGTTGCCAGATACACGCCCTGACATCTCAGTTCACAGGCGTAGCCGTCAGTTGGCACTTTCCTGTTCTTTGGCAGGTCCGCCTGCGGGATATCCTTCAGGTTGACATAAATGTACTCCGGGTTGGTCTTGCAGGCCTGGATGCTGCGGCTCAACATGAAGTTGTAGTTTGGTGAGTCGCTTCCTGTCATCAACACAGGGTTCCTGAAGGCAACGGACAACGCGTTGGCAACACTGGTGATCAGCCTCTGCTTCTCCTCTAACGTGAAGTGAGATATCGGAAGAGGCTTCGCAGACTCTGCTGCTTTGGGACTGGCCGCGCCTGGGCCACTGTAGACTCTGCTGAAAGGCCGGTCCTGATGGCCATAACCCAAACCCTGACGACCCAAATCCCAGCTGCTGGCTCTGCTGCCGCCGCCGTAGCCATTGAACCTCTGCGGCTTCGAGTACGAGTTTAAGCTGTGAGCGGAGGCGTGTGCTACATACTTGGCAGTGTAGTCCTGATGCGTTTTCGCCATGTAGTTTGAAGACGACCCGCGGCCTCCATAACCCAGTCCACTAGTGCTACCTGAGGAACCGTCTCTGTCCTTGTGGGAACCCCAAAAGTCACCCGAGTGCGACGGCACTCGGTCGAAAGCGGGCCTAAGGGAGGAGAAGCCCTGCGCCCAGTCGCTGGCGGCAGAGTGGTGGGACTCCCACGGTCTGGCACCGTGCGACTCACTCTTCCTGCGCTCCTTATCGTTCTCCTTTTCATCGGTGCCGGTTCCTCCGCTGCTCCCACCGCTAACAAAGTGCACAGGCTCAAACCGAGGTTGGGGTCCAAACTTTGTCAAAGGCATTTTCCTCATGGGTTCGTCTCCTGCAAAAAGCCAAAGTCAGAACAAAACCAAAGGAACACTGGCTTTCTGCTTATGGAACAATCTGAATGAAATCAAAAGAGAATAGAATTTCTACTTTTAAGAAAATAATAAAATGTAACATTCCATCATGGTGTGACAGGATTTTCCCCAGAAGCCCAGTCGGAGGGCAGTAATCCAGGAGCCTACCATGTTTTAAAAATGTTTAAAGTTGGCAGGAAATTTGAAGATATTACTGGGTAATTATGTGTTATTAGAAGACAACATAAGTAAAGTCTGAAGACCCGCCAGGCTTATAATGCACTGGGGAAACCCTCTATCATGAATTATGTTGATTCAATAATGTCAATCATTACAAAGATACTATATACTTGTCTTCATTATTATCTTTAAATATCCTAACTGCTCGTTTTGTGTTCAAAGATGCTTGATTGATGACTAGGTGCCTGTGGTATAGTAACTGACTTGAGGGGTAGACTCTATGAAATTATTTATCTTCAAACTATTTTTGCTTAAATATGAACATGTCACATGTTCACATAAAGTGTAAATGATCAGTTACTGTGAAAAAACTTCTTCCCACATTAAAACATTAGTATTGTTTTACTTGTTTAAGACATGACAGCACAACATTTTACTTAGTGTCAAAATAAATTATTTAGAAGGATATGGGCGATAATAGAAATAATAAATATACATAGAGAATTGAGACTAAAATTTTGACTAAATATTTTCTTTGAACTATTCATTTTTATAGAATTTGTTTATGTCAACATGTGACATATTCATTTTAAACTGTAAATATGTGTCTTTTTCTTGTAAATAAATGTAGATAAAATAGGTATTTTTTGGGATGTAGGAGGAAATCTCAGTTTTAGCCCAAAATTATTCGTACCCGTATAATAATGAGATTTCTAATTCTTTTTATTCAACCAGAATTTCTGGTAGAAAATGCAGTTCTATTCATATTTACTTTTAAAATTGCATGTCAAAAATAATCTATATCCATCACAATGTTTACTAGCATTAGAGCAACAAAACATAGAAGGATTACACAAAGATTGGTTTACATAAGTTGAGAACACAATAAACACCCCTAAAACAAATAAATACATTTTAAAAATTATACGTTTTTAGACAAACAAAGCAAAAATGATGAGAAAATTTAAAATAATGTCAACACAACTCTGATAACTCACTGCCATCTGATGAAATGGGTCTCTTTTTAGCTTCAGAACCTCCAGGACTTGGGTCAAAGGCGGGCATTTCGCCAGTGTAAGTCCCTTCTGCCATCACCAGGAGTGTCCAAATCAGAACCGGGTCATACCTGTCACTGGAGCCAAACACCTCAATGAGACCTCAGCACGTCTGAACACCACGAATGAATGACAGTCCATCGGTCTTAGCATGCTGAAGCTGCAGGGAGCCTAAAACATGGATTAAACAATCGCTCTCATACACGGTTTTATAGTATGTAGCTTTCATATTAAAATGCGGAAAAACAGCCGGACTTTATGTCAACATTGTGGTTTTACAAAGTGACGCAGTTCATGAATATTTCAGAAGTTGCCACGTTTAGCTAACTAAATAACAATGCAACCTAAATAACAACACGTTCTTGAACAGTTAGTGAAGTTAAATTACCTCAAGGTGATAGCTGTGGTCCTGTAACACCTCTGTCATTTAACCAAGCAGAATCAAACGGTCAATATTTGTGATAAAAACCGGTTATTATCCTGTGCTAGCCTCACCGAGCTAGCTTCGCTGATAGCATTAGCTACCTAGCTCACTCTGCTCCGCTTCGAAAGCGAAACTCTGGGCATTTCTGACATCAACAAATCCATTTTGGTCTTTACTGGGACCAGCGAACACGTGTTTTCAACTGCGAGCTTTAAACAGCGGGGAACCTTTCACCTGTCGGCTGCGCATTTATTCAAGCAGGAAGCGACCATTTTCTAGCCGCATCCTCAGGAAAATCATGGCGCCTGTCTGAACATTGGCCCGTCTGGCTTTCCGTACTTCATCCTGACGTCATAAATCTTTTTAACAATAATAATATAAACATTCACTCAGAATTCCGTAAACCTGATTGTGCTTCTGATCCATGAATTTAAATAATTTTCTCGCAGAATATCAGTTTTGATTCGGGTTATTTACTTAAATCCACTACGTATTTACTTTTTGTGTCAGACGTTTCACAAAAATGTACTCAAGTAAGAATATTTAAATATTTTTACTGAGGTAAAAATAAAAAGTAGCCGTCCAGAAAATTACTTAAAAGTTGTGTGAACATTTTAGAATTTTAAAAACTAAAGTGAAAAATAATTCATATAAATAACAGAACTATAAAGTAATAAAATCAGATAAAATATATTCAAGTTCATTTAAAAATATGAAACTTGAACAAAATCTGATTGTTAGAACAAGTTTGTTCTTCATTTAGTGAAGTTAGTAGAGAATTCAGAAATTTTATTGAAGTAAGAGTAGAGATACTAAACAATAAAAATGCTAAAGTAAAACTAAAAAGTACAATAAAGATACTCCCAAAAGTAACTTAAAAAAAAGTTACATTTGTAAGTGTAACTAGTTACTACTAACTCTGCGTTTTGACTTGTTTTTGCTTTATGTGTTTCCAACTTTATATACTTTTCGTCTATTATTTTGTTATCTATTGTTGTTTTTCTTTCTTTTTCTCATTTTTTGGATCTCCTTTGTTAGATTTCAAAAGAAAAAGTGGAGATGGTGGAAATTTGGGCGATACAGACTTAAGCATTTTATCACAATATTTTGTGAAACTATTGTGATAACAGCAAAAGTGACAAAAAGAGCTGTTTATTGCTTCTTTTTTTTAGGTAACTATATGACTATATGACAGCATCATAGCTGCAACATTCAAATACTGCCCTTTGAAAAGCAAACATTTACAATATACTTTCTTAAAACGCCACTTAAAAAAGTGTGATTTGTATCACTAAACTGCACAAAGTCACTATCATATTTTCAAATTTATTGATTTTTTAAATACTCTCATTGAATAAAGAGTAGAAGAAATAGTAAAGCTAATAATTCAGACAGTTTTATAAGGGTTTAAATGTCATTAATTGGAATTTATTGTGAAAGTTATAAATCAAAATGCTTATCATCAGAAGAAATTTGTCACCACAAATGATACAATCCCAAGGTTTGTTCGTCCCTAGGTTTAAGACTAAAGTCTCGACAATAAATTATGTTGCACAATTGCCAGAACTTTGTTTTTTTCTTTTTTCAAAATGTTTTGCAAGTTCAAATACAACTTCTTCAAAGTATTTTTTAAAAAAATATTTAATATAAACATCTGATAAAACCCAACAAAAACCCGGCAAATAAAAGACAACAGCATTTCTATTTTGGATTTTTTTTAATTCAAAATGTACATCAATGGAATCAAACTAAAGCAGAATACTGAATTATTTGTAGTGTAATAGATGTTTTAACAATAAGAGGAGAAGGCAGATACTAGAAAAAAAAAACATGTATGGCAACTGCTGACACCAAAATGTCACTTTTAAACTCCAAAGAACCACATCCAAACATTATAGGTAATAAACAACAAATCTCCACTTCAATACACAAAATATATCCTTATAAATTATATAAATGCACGAGTATTTTTAATACTCTTCATCTGGGTATCTGTTCAACTCATTTGGCAAAGTGGGAGCTGAAATCATGGGACAGAGCAAATATACAATGATTAAACGCACCATCATTTTCTTTTGAAGAAAAACATCGATGAAGGGAACAAACTGCAGAGCTCAGATATTCAGGGAGTAAAAAACAGAAAAATCACAGCAGTTATAAAACTTAAATAAAAGATGCATGCAAAATATAGAGTAGGCCAGTTAATGTTAAAGCACAACGTGTAGTAAAAGCCCCTCGCATGTGAGCTCCATGGTATTTAACGAAGGTACCTTAACATGGGAACCGCAGTAAATGCTTTGGTGTTTTTATGACCAGTTTATTTGAAAGTGGATGTTTTTTGTTTTCTTTGGAAAAAAACCAAAACAATTTCTACTCATTTATTTATGATTTTGTCCTTTGAGTTAATGCGTTTTACATTTTGAATGAGTGCATAGTGCAGGTCATGTTGAATTTAAATAAAAAGATCATGATTTTACCCGTGAGACCTGAAAATGTGTGAACCCCCTCCTGAAATTCTCTGCTAACTATAAGAGTTTCTCTATGTACATTAAGACATAACAGCAGATTTTAATCTGTCCCTGATTTTAGAGCTTCACTAGGTGGTCAGAAATACCATGCGAGTCCACATAAGGCTGTATCAAACAAAAGGAAGATGCGATACGGAGAATAGAAAGGCTGACACAACGAGAAATGAAAAGCAGGAAGAGGTAAAGGGTGCTTAGTTCTTGCTGAAGCTGCAATCCCCTCTTCAGGTGGCCAAGACAGATTAAAAGAAGCTACAGAGACAAAGAGAAAAGAAAGCCGGCGGTTAGAGGAGAGGCAAAAACATCTGCAGAAAGAAGAGTCAAAGTGAGCCTGAGCAAGAGAAAGTTTAACTTAAATCTGAACACATTTTTCTTACCTACACTGGAAAACCACAAAATGTTACCAAGTATTTCTGTCTAGTTTCCAATGCAAATATCTCAGTACATTTGAAATAAGACAAAACGAGCTTGTAAGTAACATTTTAGCTAGAAATAGGAGTGAATAATTCTTTAAAACTCATTAAAAAGTTCTGGTTTCACTGGTAGATTATTTCAATTATAACAAGAAAAATTTCCCATATTAAAGTTTGCTGGAAAGCTACTTATTTTGTGTTATTTCAAATAAGATATTTGCACAGGAAATTTGACCGAAATACTTGGTGATATTTTTTTTTGCTGAAGGAAAATAATCTGAATTATGAGGAAAAAATGTCAAAACCTAGATTTAAAAAAAAATCTGAATTCTGTCACTGAAGTTAAAAAAAAGAAACTTTTTTGGGGAAGAAATTCTGTTCACAAAATTTCTATTAAAAAATGGTAAAATTGGGTTTTATCTCAGAATTCTGGTCAATTGCAGAAAAAATAAGACAATATTCAAAACTGAGATGAAAAAAAAATCTGAATTTTGTGATTGCGGTAAAAACAAAAAAAGTTATAATTTTGGGGAAAAACATAATTCTGAGAAATAAGTTTTCCAATTGCCCTAATATTCTACCATAAAGTATATTTTTACTGGTAATAAATAAAATAGTAGAAAACTTTCTGTATTTATTCAAATTATTGTTTTTATATTGAAATGTGCTTAATGATTAAAGCAAAACCAACAAAAACCTGAAAAGCTGTAAAAGCTGTACACATATACATAAACAAGTTCTGCTGATTCTGATTTTAGCGCTAGATTTAAAATATTCAACTATAAGAAGAGAACTGAACACGTCCTGTAACTAAAGTGGGAAAGACGTTAATCACAGCAAACAGCGAACAGGGAGAATTAGAAAGCTGAAATCAGGTCAGAGCAGCGGGGAAGCGACACACATCAACCCATGTTTAAAGCTAATGACTGGAAACCCTGAAGCAGGTGGGGTCCGGGTGACACCTGAGGCTCACAGCGCCCCCCAGAGGCCGGTCCCTGAGCAAAGCTGGGGGGCAGAGGAGCTACTCAGTGCAGAGCCACGGATTGCTGCAAAGGAAAGTGAAACCACACACACTGATGAGCTGAAAGATCGGATGAATGCAACGCCTCTTTATCCAATTATTTCACCATGCTGTTGGATCATAGCTATGGAAGTCCATTCCTGCCAAAACTAAAACTTTAACATGACAATAAGTCATCGTCAGAAAGCAGTTATGACATAATTAAGTCATTTTTGCACCAAAGTTTTCAGTTAAAGAAGCCATAATTTGGAGTTTATGAAGTTATTATGATATAACCATATTATTACTATACAATAAAACATACAATAATGTAAGATAGCATCTAAGGATGCAAAATACAGTTGCATTTACATCAGTATCGGCCGATGTTCGTCAAAATGTTAATCAATTTTACTGTCTGTATTGGTCCAATAAGTAAAACTGGACCCATATTGACAACAGATGTTTTCATCTTGTTGTCATTTGTGTTTCCAGTACAAATGAATGTAAAACTTTGTCAATATTCCGCTAATGTTAAAAAAAATGCATTTTTGCAATATTTTGACTTTATATCTTTTTGTTTTAATGATGTAAAGCACTGCTAAAGCTGCTAAAGTGTGCCATAAACTTCAGTGATCAGATTGATAAATATGAAACGCAGGTAAAAATCATGTTTGTTCACGCAGTATGTCATTAAAAAAATGTAGCACCATCTTCCTTCTAGCACTTCCTGTTGTTTTCTTTGCGGTTTGTTGCCACTGGCACAAACTGGTAGTTGACCATGTCATGCAAAAAAAAAAAAAAAAAAAAGACCAATTTTAGTTCAGTTGAAAAACTACCTCATCCTAGCACCAAAGCACTTTAGCAAAAACAAGTTTTTTCAAACTGGTGCATCTCCATTAAGCAATATTTTACTTGAAAAAATGCTAAATTGTGTAATTATATGGTCAATGGAAACACAGCCAGTGTCAATTGTGTGATAATGTGTAGGGAAATCATTATGTCAGTAAACAATGGTTATCGATCATGATAAAAAATATTGATATTGGGCATCGATATTGGTTAAAATGATCAGATCAGTGCATCCCAAACTAGTTATGAAAGTGTCTCAATTTTACAATATTTTTTAAATATTTTGAAATATTCAAAAAATGTGATATGAGGTACATTCTCAGGTATAGAAATTTATTGCCTCTTTACTTTAGTGAGAAAATGTTATATTTAGTTAAAATAAACTATATTAAGTTATGGTATCGTATAGTGCTTTTTTGTGGTAGGTAGCAATGGACTTCCGTACATTAAATCCACCACAGACTGAAACAGATGAGTGACACTCCAGAGCATTATGGGGAAAATTGGTTTGATTTCGAACAAATCTGGACGGCTGATACTCTGATTAAAACACTTAAAAAATTGAAAACCTCCTAATTTACAGATTTCTGGTAATATTAACGCTATATAACCAGAAATCTTCAACTGCAGTTTGATTTTCATTTAAAATCCGATACAAAATCCAAGCAGGCGTTTGTTACTTTACTCTTATGTTTGTCAAACACAATGATCATGGCCACAGCTGCATCATTTGGTGAAAAATTGGCCTTTATTTTCTTTAGAAAATGTTATTTTATGTGTAGCACTAATACAAACATTTGCCCCTGCAGTTCAGCGGACATCATGATTATTTGACTTTAGATGTGCCTACATATAAAAAGTACAAAAGAAAAGAAAGTTACAATTGCACTGATGACACTGAAATATACTTCGAAAACACATCACATCACATTTGAGTGTAAAACAAAGTGCAAATATGAAAGCTAATACAAGTATGCAAATTAAAACATGACAATGAATGAGGTATGCGAGAAGTGGCAAAAGATGTCGGGCTTGCATTTATCATGCATCAGGCTAAAGTCAACTGAATAAAAAAATTGGCAATAATTGGAGAAAAATGGAAAATTTCATGGGATTTGTTTTCACATTATTTTTCCTCTCTTATTGGCAAAATTACAGAACAGCTGAATTTCTTTAAACTCTTCAACCGGATGCATGTTTTCTTTAGCCTCAACACATTTCTGCCCATCACACCAGTAGTCATGTATGTTAATATTCCAACATCATGCAAAGAATCACTGAATATGAAACAAATATGGAATGTAAATCCACTTAAAAAAGAAGAGGGGAGACTTTAGCCGAATGATTACTTGCAAAAAAAAAAAAAAAAAAAACAACCAACAAGCATCATTCAGATAAAACAAAACCAAAAACAGTGATGTCAAATTGATAGCAATGCCCAGCGTCTTCCACAAAAGCAGCAGAGAGGAGAGAGGACATGTGGAGGAAGGTGGAGTTATGGGATTTGGGTGCAGGCGGAGGTGAGGGAGGGGAACTGGAAAACATGATGGGGATGGAAGCTCATTCACAGCAGGATTGCCACAAGGGAGGATTTTTTCTACAGGAGTCCTTAGCTGGAAATGAGAGAGAAGGGCTGTTAATGCTTTTTGTACAGACAGTTATAAAAATCAGCACATTAAAATTAGACAGCACTCAGGAGAAAACATGCTTCTAGAGGCGACCAGTCAGGCTCAGGTTAGCATCGGGCGAAACAAAACGTGTTTCATTTTTTATCCTTAGATAATGAGGTTTCAGTCTGTGATCTGCCTCCTTTCAGATTGAGCTGCAGCCTGAAGTGACACAAATCAGATTGGTTTTGCCAAACATATACAACTTGTACATGATCTCCAGTGTGAACTGCAAACAACCTGAAAGTGTCCTGCATGCGCAGCAGAGGGCGTCGCACGCAGAGCGTGCTCAGTGTTTAATAAAAAAGTAGAAGAAAAAGAAGTACTCAGTGTTTAATAAAGAAGAAAAGAAGTGCTCAGTGTTTTATAAAAAAGTAGAACAAGAAAAAGAAGTGCTCAGTATTTTATAAAAAAGTAGAAGAAGAAGTAGTACTCAGTGTTTGTGTTAGTAAACGTTGATGCTAACAGTGGAGCATAGCTTGCGATTTTAAAGTTGTGACCTAAACCAGCACATTAACAACTTAATCCCCATTATAGTCTACCATGGTTGTTTTTCTTTTTTCTTGCGCGCATCAGGAAGCAGAATAGAACAATTTTTGTCGAGTATCAATGACCTTCAAGTCGGATGAATACGACCTCACCATTCAGACTCAGGACACATTTGAAAAGATCGAATACGTATCGGCTTTAGAGCCACATATCCAAGTGGCATGGGTCGCATTCGGAAAAAATCCCACCTGTGTTATTCAGACTGTCATGAAAGAAAATCAGATGGAGGTTGGATTAAGACAAAAAAAAAAAAAAAAAAAAGATCAGAATTGAGTCACTTCAGGCTGCAGGGTGAACATAGCCTCAGGATCTCTGTCACTTTAAATCTAAAATAGCTGCTGCTGGCCACGCCCCCCAACTCAAAGAGCTGCAAACAGATGCGCAATTACACAACCATGCATCTTTGAAAAGCAGAAGTGGAGCCCTCTGCACAACCAACAAGAATGCAGCAACCGGTTTCTGGATGGTAAGTCAACAACAAGACATTTATCTTAGAAGCAATTGAGACCCGAATGGAAACATAAAAATGTGCAAAATGTAAATTTTACATAACAGAGCCCAGTTAAGGTTTGAGGGTTTTGTTGTCTGTCTTATCTGACTGCATTTTGATTTTAGAAGTTTACACCCAACTCAGCAACAGATGTTTCTAACTAACTTATTTTTCCTCAGTGGATCAAACCCATAAATTCCGCTCTATGTATTTAGCTTTTGAATCCTGCCAAGGCCAACAATATCTGCAAGATCAACAGATCTCCACAGACACAGAAGTGGGCTGAGGTTCCTCGCTGCTCTGGAACGACCCGTCTGGTCTCAGACTGAATGGTTCTTTGTGCGACGGCCGGGTCGGGCCCAAGCTGCATAAAAAGAAACCTTTGTAGTCTGAGGGAGGAAGATGGGAGCAGCGGGTGTTTGGGGATCTAATGAACTGCTTCATTTCAACATTTCAGTCAGCAGAACCAAAATCAATGTAATTGATCAGTTTGGAGAGATGTAAGTTTAACTAAAACAGTAAATATTTGCAACTTAGCCTCTTTGATTCATTAAACTTGAAAGATTCTCTCATATTATTGAGAAAACCTTTGATTTTTACGGTCGAATAATATGGAATATAAGATACGATGTCTTCACAGGTCACTGTTTTATTTGGGATTTTATGTGACTCACCAACAGAACGTGTCACATAATGACACATAACAGGCTTGGGTTTTGACTAGGCCATGCCAACACATAAATATGCTTTGATTTAAGACATTCGTCTGCGTGTAGCTCTGACAATTAACTGTCCCAGTAATTATTGAGATAAATAATGTTGTTTTGAGACTTTTTTCAAATAATGTACTGAAAATAATGCGAGTTCATCCTCTCAAATGCCAATAAACTTTTATTTTGTAAAGAACATTTAACACTTGAACTGGAAGATATTGCAAAATAAAACAAGAATGGCAAAAAATAAAAACGCAAAACCGAAACCACAAAATAAATAAATGATGTCGTCTCTTCAAATAATGTCAGAATGAACTTTGATTCATCGTGTAACTAATTAATTCCTTAGTGCGACTGCCTAAGCTGCATGTGGATGTTTAACGCCAACCATTTTGATAAAGACATCATATATTTCAAGTTTTAATAATAAATAAAAACTTGTTAAATGTTCATTCTTCTCATTAATTATATGCTACTTTGATTGGTCTGTTATATAAAATCCCAATAGAAGCCGTTATAGATGAAGAGTAAATACTTCTGCAAGGAAGGCTACTTCATAGTTTTTGGCATGTTGAACACATTTAAATCGATCAGCTCATGCACATCTGGAATTAAATTGTTTATTTTGATTTGACTTGATAAAGGGGGGGGGGGTCTTCCCAGAAAAAGGTGCCTCATGCAGCATGCAGTGAGTGTGGGAAGAGTTAACTGGAAAACATTAGGGATGCAGTAAAGGTGACACATGCGCTCACAAAACACACAATCTACATAACAAGCTGCGACAAATAACTCCGTCCTGCGACTTCAGCTGGAGGTTAAACAGCTGCAATCGTTATTTCATTAGAGCATCAAGTGGACAAACTCAACTGGATTTATCTTAAAAGGAAAAAAAGAAAATGGCTGTGATGGAAATAAAAAATAAACGGGAAGAAATAAAGTTGTAAGAACTTTCAGTGCAAGTGTTTCCTTCCTTTTCTAAAACAGGCACATTGGCGGCCACACGGTGAGCCGATTATCATCAACATCATTAGGTCCTTAAAGCGAACAAAACGATCAAACATATAAAGAAAACCTTCAAATAAAAACATTTTTACTGCAGTGAAATGATTTCACACTGAAATATTTAGAAAAATTAAACCCTTACCTTGAATATTAAAAATCTTGTTAATATTTTTCTTTTTAATTGTTTTTAATCAACGTCATTGATTTTAACAATCATTGGTATTAATAGTTTCTCATTAAATTTTGTCCAGGAACATTGGGTTGATTTGGGCGTAAGTTTTGGAGCAGTTAAACATGCAGAAATCAACAGGATTTTTATTTAAATTATCCCAATATTTTACAGTGTTTAACTGGCCCGCAGCATCACACATCCTCTCAATAATTACCAGCAGGCATGAGGCTATTCGACACACATTTCATCCTGTTTTTACACCATTATTCACCATTATTTTAGCAATCAAATATTTTATGAGTTATTCTGACAACTGGATAAACATTTTTAGCACATTTTGCATTTAACCACTGAATCCTTTGATAGGAAATATTATGAATACATTAAAAGTTGAAAATTAAATTAAGTTTTCTAACAATGAATTTAGGAGAGGAGGTTTTATTTCTTAACATAAAATAAACTCAAATTAAAGGCTTGATTCTTCAAAATGTTTCCAAGTTAAATTATGATACTGCAGTAAAAGATTTATTTATTTTAAGACTTTTTGGATGTTATTTTCCCCTAAGGATGTCAATAAATCTGTCTGCACCTGTACCTGAAAGACTAGACTGAAAACCTGTGGATGCACACATTGCTTCTATGCTCGAGTTTATGGAAAAAGCCTTTAAGAAATACACAAAGGATTTATAATATGTTGGAAATCTCAATAAATTAAAGGTGCAGCATGGCAGAAAACTTGTAAAAATGTGAGAAAACTTTGCCAGATGAACATAAATAAGCCTTGAGGAGCAGGAAACCTCCTTCGTCTTCAGTGTGTGGGTAAAGAATCAAATACTCACTTTTTCCTCTCTTTATCCCTTTTGAGCGTAGTGGAGCCCCCTGCCTGCTGAGCTTGGTTCTGCAACAGCTCTGCCGCAGTCTTTTTCTGTTTGAACGTGTTGACTTCATCGTCCAGGGTCTTCTTCTTCTCCTCCAGCTTCTTTTTCTCGTCCTGATGGAGCTTCTTCAGGCGGTCGAACTTCTCGTGCAGCTGCGTGGCGATAAGCAGAAACAGGAAGTTGGTGTGGATCAGCAAAAGGAGCAGAAACAAAGCGAGGCGTTTGAGTTGATTTTCACCTCTTTCTCTGCCTCCTTGAGCTCAGCTTCCTTCTCTTTAACTCTCTGGACAAACATCTGCCTCATCTCTTCTTCCTTTTTCTGCAGCTCGCCCATGAACTCGTTCCGCTTCGCCTCGTACGTCTCCTGCAGACTGGTTAGAGGAAAAAACTGTGACACTGGGAGAAAGCAGAGAGAAATAAGCCGACAGACTTAGAGGTAAGTCTGCTACCTGAAGGGCTTGCTGTCGGGATCCGTGTCCTTGAAGCCCATTTCCTCCAGCTTGCAGCGGCGGTACAGCTCGTAGTGGCGCGTGTGGGTCTGTTCTCGCAGATCCTCCATGTTCACTCTGATCAGCATTTCTCTCAGTTTCACAAAATCACAGTGGTTTTCGTTTTCCACTGCGAGGAACACAGAAAAGAGAAAGCGCATCAGACTGCATCTACATCAATACAAATCAGTAGGAGTAAGAAATAAATCAATAAACTGCAAGATAAAACGAGATCAATAATTTTTATTTTTATGATTTATTGTTTCTCTTTTTACCAAAAACTTGGTGACAAAAGTTTTTAGTTTGATGCTTTGGTCTCAGTTAATCCTTTTTGTGCAGGGCAATTTTATTTATAATTGTATTTGTTGTTTTATTTGTTTCAGATATTTAAAATGTCACATCAGAATTTAAAGTTTATTGAACTCTGAGAGTGAGTTCTTGCATTATTGCTTGTTAATAACTCGGCTAACCGTGCAAAAGGGCTGAACTTGGACTGTCCAAACAGAACCAAACTCTACTAAACAATTCCAGTCCAAAGCAGAGAAGTGACCGTGTTGTGGTTTCTCCATTTATTTGATTGCAGAGCAGAGCAGCTCCAGCAGCCATGTGACAGCATGTGAGCAGGAACGCAGCCAGCCTGAAGCAAACTCATCCGATGTGTGATCAAGATTTGTTCCCTCTTTGAGACAAACCTGCAGCAGCTTTGGCTTAAAATCTACTGAACATCCAAGTTTAAAGTTTGTGTCAAAACAAGTGAGTCGCAGCTTAAGATCAACATCACCCAGTCAACTGAAATCATAACAGACGCAAAAAGCTAGTTAGCTAGCTAGCAAGGGAATATTAACAGCTAGTAAGCGCTTCGAGTCGCAGAACACATTTAAGATGTTTAACTCAAATTTTTGCTTGACGGAAAAATCTGAAAACTACATACAAGATTAAATAGTCCTGTCAAGACAAAATTAAGACCTTTGATTACCATATTTAACTTGTATACCTTTTTTAAAATTAATGGACGATTTGCGTAATTTTACAGTTAACTGAAACACAGCCAATGACGTAAACGTACGAATGTTCAGACTGCAGTGGCTTTAGAAAATATCAGTAATCATTTGATTTAGGAGCTCATATGAAAGAGACACAAATCTGATTTATTTTTGAGTGAAAACATTGGAATTGCACTGTTCAGACAAGAAAAAGTGGAATATGGACAAGAAAACAATGGATTTGGGTCAAATTTACCCGCTGTGTGAACTAAGCTTAAATTTCCAACGTTCACCTGAAAAATCTACAATCACCTGATGCTGAACTAGGAATAAACGTCTTGCTTTAATTAAGACACAGCTGAAAGTTAGTTCTTGTCAGACTTCAGCGTTCGGATGAGACTTTCTTCTTTTGTCCATTTTCTTGCATTAAATTTCCAAACTTCTCAGTCACTTTTAGGCAAACCTTTTTCACAATAACTACAATAGTTTGGCATAGACAAATAATTTTACTTCAAATATAAAAACTGCAATGAAAACAGATTATATAGGTTGGATGGAAAACCAAACCATAGATGGGTGCAGACAACTTCAACAGAATTGGAAACATAATAACATCTGGAAATATATTTTTTTCATGTTATACTTAAATTGTCTGAAGTTATTCCGATGTGCCAAATACTCCAGACTATCTCAGACTGCACAGGAACTCTTATCCTTAATGACTTGTCTCCAAAAACGTCAAATACAGAAATAAAAACTTAATTTTTCATAAATGTGTTTATGAAAACTGGCTGTTGAACTGAGTCGATGTATGCCTTGAACATTGCTCCGTTAACCCTCTGAGTTAAAAATCCTGATGCTGCATTTTGAAAACTTTACAAACCCTTTATAATAAATCGGTCAAGAAATCAATGTAAAATCAATATGGAGCCATTAGTGGCATACAAAATGTAAGCGCAAAGAGGTGCTGCATTGATGGATAGGAAACTGGAGTGAATGAGGTCACACAGCGAGTTCAACTGTGAGAGCAGAGGTGAAACAGGAAGTGGCTTCAGTAGCTCTGCAGACAGAGAGCGCACGCTGTCACTTCCTGTGCTGGAGGTGAGACAGGCTTACCCTGCACCGTCCCCCAGGGATACTGCCGGGCCTTCACCATCTTGTTCCCGATCTTCACTTCCTCCGTGCTCCCCACCACAGCAAACGGCAGATGGCTCTGAACCAAAGACAGCGCTGTTAGCGTACCGCTACACCTGCAGACGGAGGCGGCTAAGCTAGCTTCAATGGGTCAGCGGCAAAGCAAACGCTGTAGGAATGTTGAGTCCACATCGGGGTTAATAAACAGCTAGCAGAGTTGCTCCCACACGGCTGGCTTCCTGCAGCATGAATCGACTGATTGTGCTGCTTTCCAAACATTGTCCCTGCATGTGATGGCCTCCAGTCCAGGCCATGTGAGCAGAAAACAAAAACAATGCCTGTCCTCACTCATAAGTTGTTTTGATACTTTTTCAAATTAAATGTGTTTGTTCAGAAAGACAGATTTCCATCACATTCATAAATTAGAGCTTTAACTACATAGGGATGGAAGCAGAAAGTCCAAGGGTCAATACTGCCTTTCTGAGACTTTACTACTTATTTTAGTTGAGAACAAAAATAAAAATGATTAGAACTGATCAAAACTGAACCTCAAACAAAAACAAAACAGGGTAGAATCACAAAAAACAAGATTCCTTTATTTGCCATGTTTCTAGAACACAAATTGAGAGATAAGTAGATAAATAAATAATGATTGTCCGTAAATCTAAGTTTTCTCTGGACTTATTTGTAGTTTAACCTACAGGTCTGGAAATAATGAAGAGCCCAATGCACTCAACCTCAGAGAAAACCTCCTGCTTATTCCACCTAATATTGATTTCTGAACTGTTCCTGAGTTAAAACATTGGTATTGTTGTTTCTAAATTAATATTAACTTGTTTTCTTTGCATTATTTGAGCTTTGAAAGCCCTGCATCTTGTTCACTACTTTTACTATTTCTCATTTTCTGCAAATAAATACAAAATTTTTGCTTGGAATCTCAGAGACATGTTGTCCGTGGCTCATAGAGTGAAAGAATGTTTATTTTACTAAAACATTACCTATAAAGAATAAAAACAGATAAACTGATCATTTTAGCTGGTCTATTAATATTTTCCAGAGCTGTATTTTCATGTAAATTTTTTATATTATAAAATGATTTTATTTTATATTTCAATTACTTACAATATCTCACAATGAACTTTTTTATACATTTTACAATGCTTCTGGTAATATTCATATTTAATTAACACTTTGAATTAAGTAAATAATCAGCTAAAAAGAAAATTCTCCTTAGAGATCGATAAAGTATTATATTCTTTTTGGTTCAGATCTAACAACATTTTTCTTTTTTATGTTGGAGGACAAATAAATATTGTCCTTAACTTAAATCTGAGAGTCAGTTCAGGGTGATTCTTATTTTAATCAATAATTTATAAGTTCAACATGAATGAATGAGGTAGAAATGTGGGCCTTACGTTCATGGTGGAGTTGATTTCCGCCACGGACTCGTCATCAGTGGGGAACTGGTAGATCTGGACGCCGTTGCTGACCAGTTCGCTGGTGATTTTGATCTTGAACTTGGCCAGTTCGCTCTTGGAGATGGCGTCCGATTTGGCAACGATGGGGATGATGTTGACCTGCAGGGGAGGAAGAAGTAAAGAAGTTTTAGTTGGCTAAATTTAGACAGTCTTAAGGCGCTCATCAAACGGGCTTCTGCTCTGATTCTGGAGTCCAAATTTAGATGCAGGCTCAAAAAGGAACAAACACGTTAAAAATCAGCTGATCTCAGCGCTGAATGAATAACATTCAAGTTTACAGAAATGTTTAGAAATCATCAATTCTGAGGGAAACGTGAAAATTAGTATTGATTATTCTATCAATCAATCAGGCATTTTTATACAATATTCAAATGTGTAAAATTGCAAAAGAACAAATGTATGTATTTTTTTAGCAAGAAAACAAACATATTACCTAAAAAGCATTTCTTTCATAAACACCCATTCAAGAGAAGCAGAGAAATGCATTTACAGTTAAAAAAAAAAAAAAGAAAAGAAAAAAAAACTTCTGACAGGAACCAGGGTTGATTTAGTGGCGCATCCCCCACTCTTCAGTGTGGAAGCTGATATAGAAGACTCAAAGTCAGCCATATTCAGTATCAATGAGACGATTAGAAAGAAACCAGAGGAACACAAAGTTTAAAGGATGAAAATGTTTCCAACAGAGGCTGATCCTGCCAGTCGCTACAGTCAAGAGAGACTATTGGACATTTCCAACTTGAATATGTTGGATAAGGAAACAAAAGATTTATCAAATTAGCAAAAAAGTGAAGGGACTCTGCACCAATTTCAGCTCACAGAAGCTTCAAATGTTCTGTTTTGTCATCTTGACATTTAACCTGCGGCCGTCACTCTGAATTTGAAAACACTTGCAGCGATTTGGAAATCTCAGAGTTAAGATAAGGTTTGTTACAGTTTGTAACAATAACAATGCAATTTAAAATGCTGAAGGCAGTTTGTTAAAAAGTCAACTGCAAACATTTTACTTTTGTTTTGAAATATTAAGAAAATCCTGAAGGGCTCACAAGATTAATCAATAATTTAAATAACTGCCAAACAATTTAGTAGTCAATTAATTGTTTACTGGACAATACAGATGCAAAATAAATAAAAAAAATGCTGAAACCCTAACTATACTGAAAATATGAACATTGTATAAATAAACTTTAGTGATTAAATTAAAATGCAGCAGATTGTGGAAACTTTTTAAAATTTGATTAAGTGTCAGAATAATCAATGACTAAAATAATTATTAGTTGCAGCTTCACTTAATTTGTAGTTTGGACGCCTCGTTTGTTCCTAATATAAATAATTGATAATCGGTCGGAGGGGAACAGCCAGAAAAATACTTTTCCTACTGAATCTGCTGAAAAGGCATCAAGAAATCAGTGCAGTTCTATAAAACCAGGAAGCGGGCTTTAATGTATAGCATATGTATGCTAGCTTCACAACCGTATAAAAAGAGAAAACATTGAGTTTTAATCTTGAATCTTTGCTAGTTGTCCAAACAGATCCTGCAGGACGGCAGGAGACGATCAGGCAGGATCTGCTTTCTGTTGCAAAACGAGAATCTTCCTCCCACGCAACATTTTTCTGCCTTTTCAACGACATGTGAGCCGTTTGTAACTATGAGCGATGAATGCTCTGGGTCATGGGAACAAAAACAGGTCATTCCATCATGTAACACCCCCAGGATAAATATCTCAGAGGAGAAGGAGGAGGAGGAAACGCTGCTCTGGGTCACACAAATACCAGACATGCTCTATGCGAAAGTGATTCATGTGTTGCTGTCAGAGCTCACCTTGCTGTCGAGTTTCTTCATCGTCACCAGGTCCAGGGATTTCAGCGAGTGTCCCGTCGGAGCGATAAAGTACAAGCAAGCGTGGATACGCGTGTCATGATAGCTGTGCAGCGTGCGCTTGATCTTCAGCTCCTCCTGGAGGTACGCTTCGAACTGGGCATCGATGAACTCCACAATGGATTTGTAGCTGGACAATGAGAAGGATGGGGAAGCCGTTCAGTATTTCCTCCTTTTGTAAAGAAAGCTGGTTATCAGCAGGAGGCCCGCTCCGTTTAACCCAGCAGGTCCGAGTCATTCCAACAAACAACAAGTCCAACTTTAACTAGAAACAGCTTTGACAGTAGATTAACCCTTTAACTGTCACCCAAACACTTTCATTGAAAATGTTTGAAGTGCTTGAACACATTAATTTTTAATAAACATTTTAATGTCTGTTAACCACGTAAATTGTTTTGTATTTTTTATGATTTTTATTTGATATGTCTGCTATTTTTAACATGCAGCTTGAACAGAAATGCCTTGTAATATTTTGAAGATCATCTGACAATATTCTACATAAAATGTATGTTTTGAAATGTCTGTCAAATACATCTTATGACAGTTCTGAAAACAAAACAAAACAAAAAAATCCCCCAATTTTATCAACATTAAAATAAAAGCCAACCTTAATTTCAGTTAAGGTTCAGTTAAACAGATCAATCATTGGCATTAGAAAACAATAAATATTCAAAAATAAAATAAAAAAATTTTCCGTTAAGAAAATAGAAATAATTTAACACAAGAAAAGTTTAATCTGATTAATCTGAAGTTTTCAATCTACTAGAATTAAAATAAACTTGATAAAATGGACAAAAAAATTTTATTTCTAATCCCGTCTTTACAGGAATATGTTGCATGAAAACATGCAGGTGAGGAAACATTAACTTGCTACCCTGTGGTCGTACTAAAGAAATGTCGCCTGGCCTGCAGCAGGTCAAAGGTCACATGACTCCAACTGGGTTTGTCCTTGTTTAAGGCGCTGCGGGCCGTTTCTTCTTGAACAATATCAAAGATGGGATGAAACTACAGTTGTAGTGTCACATGATATCTTCCCTCCCTGCTGGTGAAATGTTAGCTGCCATGAATGTTTGGAAATAAAATATTCCAGGCAAACAAAACGGACCCCTGAGATGTGATACGTTTGTGATGCCAGCCTGGAAACCACCTACATCTAACTTTTCTATGTAAAAACTATTGAAACCATTAAACCTGAAAGCTTAAGAGCGCTGTCAGGGTTTCCCCCAGTGTATTATAACCCTGGCGGGTCACCAGGCTTTACCTGTGCCCCCATCTAACTTAGTATTACTTATTTAAGGTTTTTTTTTTATGTTTGCATTTTTAAGACTTTATAGTTGGTGTTTAGATATTAATCTTCCAATAACACATAATTATCAAGTGATATTTTCAAATTTCCTGTCAACTTTAAACATTTTTTAACTCAAAAACATGACGAGCCGCTGAGCGCTCAGCTGAATCACTGCTGAGCGCCCCAACCACCAGGCTTAGAAAGTTTTTGGGTGAAACCTTGTCTGTGGTGTTATTCCCTGTCAGGAATAATCAAAGGGCGCATAGTGACACTCATTACCTGTCCTCCTTGTTGATCTGGTCTCCGAAGCCCACTGTGTTGACGACGGTCAGCTTGAGGCGCACGTTGCTCTCCTGCAGCTCGTAGGTGTTGGACTTCAGCGTGACGCCCGGCTGGTTGTGCTGGGTGGGCTCACCCTCAAACTTGGTGTTGAACAGCGTGTCCATCAGAGTGGACTTACCGAGACCCGTCTCACCTGGAACACAGAAATACAATGTTACATTAGGGGAGTCCAAAGAGTGGCTCAGAGGCCTTTTGTGGACCCAGGACTGATTTTAGCAGCCCATTGACTGCAATTTAAGATGAATAGAAATTTAGCCTAAAAGATTGACTTTATTTTTTTTTTTTTGGAGCAGAAATATTACAGATCAATTTGAATCGCCTTAAAATGTAAAGTATTAATCTTTAAATAACCACTTTTAATTTTTTAGCAGATACATTTACCCAGTTCCAGAATTAGAGTGACATAAATCTTTCTTTTATTTGCTATAATTTTTCATTTAACGGAACAAATTTGCAAAATCCTTCTTACGTTTTGGCTCTACTATCTCTTTCCAACACTTAAACAATATGGATATTTCTTTTCTTTAATTAGAACTAATACCTTATCAAATTGGGGAAGAAAAAAAAAGAGAGAGTAATTCACAATATAACTTCTTATGGGAAAAAAACAAACATATTTTTGACCTGGAAGGCAATTCTGCGTCACATAACAAAAGGTTTGAATGCACATGCTTTAAATCAAAGAAATTAAAACATTTAAATGTACAAAATCATCATCACACTGTCCTCATTCGCTTCAAAAACATAGATGTCGACATCAAAGACAGGTGGCTTTTTAATCAGCTTTATTTTAAGCTCCTTAGACGACTTGATTGAATCCAAAACAGAAAAGAGGAATAAATCAGATGTGCAGATTTAATGGCAGCCTGAAGGAGTTTTTACAGTCATTTTAATGTTTAGAGGCATAAAACAGTTTCTAAGTCATGCATTCTGTCTGTTTCCTGGTACAAATTGTTGGATGACTCAGATGTGGAGCTTCCTCACTTAAAAAATCTATTTTTATTCTTCCCAACCTGACCTACAGTCTGTGCTAACTCGTTTCTATAGGAAATATCATCAAATATCACAAATACCACATGATTCCTATAAAAATTCAACAGATAGACAAATCAATCCAAGTCTGTATTCTGACATTTTCTAAACATATAATATTGATGATAATAATGCATCATGTTTGAAGTGCATTAAAGACAACAGATAAAAACTCTTCTGAAAATAAACAATAACAACTATGAGAATTGCACTTATTGATATTTTAAACTTTGTCTGCAGAAATAAGCATAACTTATGTTCTGCTTATTTTTCCAAGAATATTCTGCCCTGCAAAGATTATTCAGGCACCTTGAACCTTTCCACATGTTGTCAAATTACCAAACTTTGTTGAATTTTGTTTTTATTAGGATTGAGACAGCGGTCAAATTCACCTTAAATCACAATGACTGTGGATGTAGAAACAGCAATATTGTTGTATTTACAAAACATGTTCATGTATAAGTATGTCCTAGTTAAAGTCCAGACCTAATCTCAACTGAAAATCTGTGGCGAAACTTGAAATTTGATGTTCACAGACACTCTATGACTGACTGAGTGAAACCTGAAGGAGAATTGGTGAACATTTAATTCTCCAAGAGACCGAACCCGAAAACTTGCAGTGATCCAACTAGATGCTAACTCAAGCAAATATATAAAAGTATTGCAAAAGCAAAATCTAACTTTCTTTTCACTCTATATCTAAACAACACTTTATTTTGATCTCACCCATAAAATCACTTGAAAACTTTTGCAAGTCAGTGTTTACAACTGCATTTCTGCAGAGAAAAGCGTTTGGTTTTTTCTCCCAACATTGTAAAGCAATAACTAAAACTAAACTAGTCTGAATGAGTTTTTCAGGTTGATAAAATCTAAATCTCAGTCTGTAACAAGCTTCACTTTCAGAATAAAACAGAAGGTTATCTGGCAGAAATGTTTTGAGAATTTGTATGCAAACTTTCAAATGGTAAAATTCCAAAAAACAAACAAAAAAAGAGTTTAGATGAATTTTTCAACCCCTCCACCTACACGGGATCTTTAGTGGAGAAAAAAGACCAATGGAAAGTGTTGTACGTTTGGAAGCAGGTCAAAGTCATAAAATGACTCTTCATGTTTATTATTTCACCTATTGTTATGATCAGCAGGGGACATGGCAAGAGGCTGAGAGAGGGGGTTTACTTTTAGGAAGCAAATCCATTCAGGATACAAAACTACACAATGAAAAAAAAAGACATTTTTTTAAAATAAAAAAAGCAAAAGAAAATGTGTTTTAATAATATTTCAGTCTAAAAAATGTAATAAATAGTTTGGGGATGCAAAATAAAGAATAGTCATTGCAGGAAATAAGGACATTTCATCTGGGCTGTATGTGCTAGTGAGAGGAAAATGCTTTGAAGGCGTGTTGATGTGGTTGACTGTGGCTAGAAGAAAGCCATATTGTTTACACTCGGTCATTCCAATGTGTCAAAAAAAACATAATTAGATAAACCAGTAACCACCACAAAGCATGGCCTCCAATAAGCTTGGTAAAAACTAATAACTGATAATTATCTAAAAGAAATGTAGTGCATTACATACACTAAATATGTTCTCCCTCAGTGAACTGTTTGACGTTCACCGAGACCAAACTTTTGTTTTAGCTTAGTTAGAGCGACCAAAATTATTTCTACTTGCTAAATTGCTTTTGTACCTTTGTCACTATGGTAACTAAAACAGAGCCTATCAGAAACTTAAACAGTAAAGAGTGATTTCTCATGTGAAACTAATATCTGCCGTTATTAAACAACAACATGCAGAGGTTTGTTGCGCTCACCAACACAGAGGATGTTGAAGCAGAAACCACGGTTGACAGACTTGTTGACCAGCTGGTCAGGCATGCTGTCAAAGCCGACATGGCCGGCCAGAGGCACAGCGCGGACTCCTTCGCCCTAAAAGCAGAAGAAATCAGATTAGTGTCTACATTTCCCAAAACTCCCACTTATCTCTGCATTAGCAGCTAAAACTCGCATTACCTCGTCCTCCATCTTATCTGATAGAGAACCAAAGTGAATTCAGGTGCAGTCTAACTCACTTCCTGTTTTCGGAGCTGCAGCGTTCTTCCGGCAAAAACGAGACAGTTCGAAACCACAAAGTACATATATGGAAGATAATGGCTCCTCTTTTAGACAACAAAATGAAGAGAAAATACCATCTAATAAAGACCAAATGTATTTTATCAGGATTTTTGGTGATCGTAAAACATAGTAGTGCATGGTTCTGAAGTGCATGAAAAAGATGTATTCTGTGCTTTGCTAAGGTGCTAAAAAATAAAATCCACAAATGCAATTACTAACCAGAGTATTAATGTGTTAATTTTAGTGTCATTATAAATACAGCTGTTTATGATGGTCTTAGAGCAGGTGAGTCAAAATTGTCGAGTCAAAAGTATTCACAGGCATGAACAAATATCCTTGAAATTTAAGTAAATAAAGTAGCCAGGTTTTTTATTTTATATAGAATTTTTAAATAAATCATATTCATTTCAGATCTAAAACTTAAAAGGGATTTTGCACATTTGCTGTATTGAAAGCAAATACAGCAAGTTTTCAATTTATTTTAGGTTTGATTTAACAATTTTTTTTTTCAATAATAAGGATAGGATTTCACTCACTTTTTCTCATAACACTTGTTATATTTAGCCAAGTTTCATAAAAGATAAAAGCTGATTTGGATGTATCAAAGTTGCCTTTCCAGAAAAAGGACCTGAATAAGCATGATTCTGCCTTTTGTTAAAGCTTGGCTGTAAAAAAAAACAAACAAACAAGAAAAAAACATTTTCTATTGCAGGAAAATGATATTCATAGTAATTTTACCCTGGTTACAATTAGAATGTCTCCATTTGCATCAACCCCCTGTGCTGCACAAAATCAAAACCACGCCTCACTTTGGACACGCCCTTCTTAGAGTGACAGCATGAATTTGTTCCTTTTTTGTCTTAAATCCAGTGTAAAATATATGCTTGAAATGTTCAAATATTCTCTCTATGAACAACAGGAAAAAATATTCAGCGTCTAGATTTGGCATAACCCAGAATGCATGCAATCTGAGATTTCTATAACTAAGAGGGTCTGAACACACATGTGCTAGACCTTTCAAATTTAGATATGGAACACCATCTATCCTTTCCCTTCAGCTTTTTTTAAATGTTTTACTCTAGACTGACCTATGACATAAAATCCCAATATTCATTTTTGTGGTTGCAACATGACAAAATGTATAACATGATACAAAATAATGTTCAAAATGCAACTTTTCAAACTGTGTGTGGTTGTCAGCGAGTATATGATTGTTCCGATTCGTTTTTCTGTCAGCTATGTTTATGTTATGAGCTGTTGGGAAGCAAAGAATTTGCAAAAGATGCCAAAAAAGCTAAATCTCTCCAGCAGCTAAACCTCAGACAAACCGGCTATTATGTGGCTTAACATAACACAGTGCTGTTGTCCAATTTGGCAAAAGCTTTGAAAGAAAACACACTCTCAGGGTACATTTAAAATAACTGTCCAATCTGATGGTACTGAACAGTTGCGGATTGTTTGGATGACTGGAGCTGGGTTTAAACAGCTGGGAGAATGTTTGGGAAACTGATAGTAACGAGACAAATAGCCTATATATTTCTGCAGCATTCCAGAAATCATCATCCCTGCTTTTCATGACACTCAGAGGCAAGTAGCACACAGCCGGTTTCATTCATTTGGGCCACAAAGGGAAATCAAACTGCACAGCCTATGCTATTCTAAGCACTCCCTCTGGGTTAAGTGGCTTCCTTTTCCACGAAAAAAAAGGTGAACATTCAGAAAATGCAAGCTTTTTATACAATACGTACCACGCTTTCCCCCCCTTCTTTTTTATAAATGCTAGTAAAGACGGCGCCGTGTGAAAGTTAACAGGACTTGAACATAACGGAAATGAGAACCGAAGCTGTGCCTAAATGGGGGCGTTGAGAATGAATGGCCTGCCGACGGTTCTGTGCGGGCTTTTAACGGTGCAGAGCCTGCTACGTTACATTTTTCGACAGCATTTACAAGTCGACATTTTGTTTCGAAATATTTATGCTAAAGATAGCCTCGCGTGAAATCAAAATGGGTCAAACTGAAACATTTCAACAGATGGACGTCGGGTCTTTACTGAAAATTGCTTATCCAAATCATTTTCAGTTTTACAATCTAATTTTTAAAAGCTGTTTAATTATTACCAAAACCGTATTTAACTTGCTAAATACGGTTTTGATGGAATGGAGCACGAAAACGGATGTTAGCAGGATAACCCCTTCCACTGATTCTCCTAATTCTCCCCCTCTCTAACAAAAAGCTACATCAATATATAGATTTTTCTTGCGACTCGGGTGTGTGGCACAGCCACAATGAGAGTATCTATGTGTAAAACGGGCGACTTACAGCTTGCCTTGCTATCTCAGTGGACGCCATGGTGAGTGCTGTTAGCTGGAGAACAAATCCTCCGCCGCTCTGAGGTTAGCAAAGGAAGCCGCACCGTTTACGTTATACTCAAAGCTGGCCTGCTCGGAACGTACCATTTATTTCAGCCGTTTTACGCTCGTAGTGAAATAAAAATACAAAAAATAAAATCATTATTCATATATTTTTAAAATTTTATGAATTTAATTTTTGGATAAATATTTTCTAGAAGACGGAATTAAAGCGTTAAAGCCACTGAACACCCCCTCACCGTCGACACCCCCCGCGCAAGATGCCATCATGGTTGCGGCTGATGGTAAGGAAGGGTAGTGAACGTTCAAACGGAAAATCTGATGTAGAAACAATGCAACGATATTCTTTTCATTTGGGGAGGGTCTTCATAATTAGATGTTGAGTAATAATATAAATATACGAGCTTTTATATACAACATTATTAAATTTGCCCATAACATTGTGGATACAAAATTGGAGTTCATGATTAATAACCAAATATTACAAGTGGAAGTTACACAAATGTAATTCTTAAAAGTTGTTTCTCGACGTATATATTTTCCAAAGTAATGACGCTTTTCCTCAGCTCTTTGAAAAAGCTTGGACAAAGAATGCTACTTTTCTCTATCATGGTATTTCCCTTTAAATTTTTGACATGTCTATTATTTTAAACATATGTATCTCATGCATAAAATATAACATATGTCTTATACATGTCTACTATTGTTTTATGTTTGTTCTTATTTGTTTATTTATTCATTCATTTATTTAAAATTTTTTTGTGCACTATGCTGGGACAAACAACATTTTTGCCCCTTAGGGATCAATAATGTATTATTATCATACGTGCTCATATGGTAAACATTATTTTTTTCTAATGCTATGATTCACTTATTGTGTTATATGGCCTTTGCACTACCTTCCCCTGTCTCTTTTTCCCATTTTTATGACTACTGCTCGTTATTCCAAATGTTTGCATAGGAATTCTATATTATTGTAAGATTTGTTGATTTGCAATAAAGTTATTTGGAGAAAAAAACGTTTCAAACGGAAATTAGCAATAGCAAGTAGCTCTATTTCCAGAAAACTGTTACAATATCATTCCATATGATTCCACAGAACATGAAGCAGCGTTCATAGATGCACATATCGTACTCCTGTTCAGCGTAACTAGAACTGACACTAGCCGCCACAAATCACAAACAACTACAAATCAAATCTCTGGTCATTCAGTTTTAGCTAGGTGGGCTTACTGATCATTGAAACCATAGAAACGCCTTTTTAGTCACGTGCCTGAGATCGACCAATAGTAAGGACGCATCGTATTTAAAGTGAGGCGGCGGCTGTTGGAAGCAACACTACAGTTTTGTACCACAACAAGCTGGCAACGAGGAGAGGATTAACAACGAAGAAAAAAAAAATACAAACAGCGCTTCTTGAAACTCTGTGTCACAAAGGTGGGTGGTAACGTTTAGTTGTTCTTATTACTTTCTGCATAGTAATCTTTTGAATTGCTTCAAGCGTGTAACCCGTCCATCTGGTAACATGAGCTAACAGAAGCTAACGGTCATCGTCGAGTTGGACAGCGGTTAAATCAACGGACACTTTAACTGAAATATTTAAACTGAAACTACTCTATAATGCGCCTAATCGATGTGAACATGTGTATTTGGGTAATTAATACCGCGTTTATCAACTCTCGGACTTTCAGTAGTTACACTGCCAAAGGCACCAATACCTGGTGGAAGGACCTCGGTAGCACTTTGACTGGCCAGAAACTTTATGTATTCAGTCTTCTAAAGCTGCTATTCTGCGACTTTTGGAAACATTCCTTTTTCAACACGCCTAATAACTGGTTGTTTACCAGGCTATTGCAGACCTGAGTGACTGCTGATGAGGGAATTTGATTCAGGTGTGTTAGAGATTACTCTACAAGCAACAGGTTAATTTGTTGTTTATGGTCATTTCTTTTAAGTCTGCGGTCTGAATGTTCAAATCTTTTCAAAGATTTGCAGTCAAGTAGTTTGGATTAAGAAAAATGTTGTATGATCTGGACCAAAAAATGCATTAAATGGAGTTTTCAATACCTGTAATAAGTTTCCACCAAATGGCAGAACTATTATCATGTTAAATTTTATGGCTTCAAGCACTGGATTATCTTGAGATGCTTGTGAACCATAATAGATGAAACTTCAATGAACTTTTTTGTTTTTTTGGCACTCATCAAAAGATAATGTTGACTGGTGTGTCAAAGTTTGTTAATGTAATTTCAACTTGCTGCTGAAATGTGCTGTACAAATAAACGTTACTATCTGGGCTAATGCTTCAATTTTGTTTTGACTCATTTGACTCAGGATATTTTCATTGGGGTAAAAAAAATTGAGAGCCCTATTGCATTTTTTTTCCTAAATAAACCTTACAGTTTGGGGGTGAAGGGAAGCTGCCTCTTTCTGTGACTTTGAGCTCAGCTTTATAAGTTTCTTTAACTGAGATGTTCTTGCAGGAGGAGTGTTTTGGCTGTCTGACAGTCCTTGACTTTTTTTAATTTCTGACACTTCTATGGTGTCAGTTTTCTGCATAACTGTTTACAGATACAATGGCGAGCATAATCTTTGCAGAGCAGGAAAATGCACAACTTGGATCTTCACAAAACTTGCGCCAGCGACTTAAATCTGTTCCAGGTATTATTTTTTTTCTCTCTCTCTTTGTCCATTCCTCGACCCTTGGATTGCAAAAATCCATTAACTTTTTTCCACAACCAGAAAAACTAAAGTCTCCCATGTTGGCCACGCCGCTCTCATCCGGCCGCAAGGCTTTTGGTGTGGTGGGCAACAGGATTTCAACACCAGCCATCAAAACGCACGAGAAGAAACTTGTAAAACCACAGGTTGGCAGTCTAACTTCAGTTTTTCTCTTCTTTAAATCAGTGTTCAAAAGCTTGTTTTTGTTGCCACTAGGAAACAAAAGCCACTCCGACTCCTCAAATCAAAGCAGAGGAATATCCAGAAGTTGAGCAGTTTATCCCTTACGACCCATTAGGTAAATCAACAAATACCTCAACTTAATGCTATCAGATAATTAGAATTCTCTTATCTTTACACTTCAAGTTTTTTTTAAGGTTTGCAGGGAAATGCTCTCTCATCCTAGAGTTGTCCTGGGTTTTACCTGAAGCACTTGACTGCAATGTTTTCTTGAATTGCTTTATTTCAGACTTTCAGCGGTACAGTGTACCTGAAGATCTGATCCCTCTTAGCTGCATGGCTCTGTCTGGGTTGGCTTGCTTTCCACACAGACGTCCTGATCTGAATGAGGAAAAGATGGAAGAGCTCCCATATTTTTCCCCTGTGGAAATGCCAGAGTGTCCAGGTATGAACTCTGTGGTCAAAATTAACTCAATTTACCTTTCAGATGTTTTAGAGACATTGACTGAAAACTCTGCTATAATTAAAACTCCTTACTCTTAGCACAAATGGTTTAATCTTGCATGACCTTTTCCAGTTTGATATTGAAATCTCTTAAGCCAGTTTTGTCACAGAATCTTAAAATAAGGTATTGCAAACAAAATTTATAAGTGTAAAAATGTGAATCTTATAAAAAAATGTTCAGTAAAATGGCTAATGGTGTTTTCCAAACATCTGTCTCTTGCTCCCATTTTTATTTGCATTGAGACTGAATCTAAAATGCTTTTATACAGCATAAAGCTGGATTTGTTTTTTTTTAAGCCTTTACTGTTGTAACACAGGTGGTCTACAGTAGGTGGTGTAAATATAGAAAGTCACTTGACCCTCAGGCTAGATGTAAGGTCATGCTTTGGCAGGAAATGGTTTCCTTTTACAGATGGTGGAAAAAAAAATCTTGTGCCATCTCATGTTAAACATGGTGGCTTGTATTACATGTGTGATTAATCCTGTCTGGACTCCATGTTCTGCATTGAGGTTTCTAATAACATGCAGGTCACTGGACTAATTACAGGTTTGTTTTTTTTTTTTGTTGTTTTTCTTCCCCCAAATCAGGAGAAAAATGTACTGTTGCAAAAACTCTGGCTTATTTATAACGCGACACAATTATGCAGAATGTCCAGATGCATAACAATTTTAAAGCTCTTAGTCATAATCAGTATGTATGATTCCAGGGTTAACTCAAATGTTGCTGCAATGAAAGTCTCTTGATAAAATGCATTTCTGTTCAGTTATTTTTTTTTTAGGTAACTGTTGGCCTCAGATGTAAAATTTTGGACTCTATTTTAAAAATGGGGTAATATTTTAATGCATGCGTGGGTTTAAATTAATTATAGTCATTTGCGTCTGGAGCACATGAAGGTGTATTATTAACCTGACTGTCTCTGTTTTCAGCTGACTACACGGAGCTGACCGCGTTTCTTCAAACTATTGATGAGCTGACTGAACTTCCTCCAGAACCTGAATTTTAACGCATTTATTAATGCTCTGTATTTTTGTCTTTGAATAAAGTTGTTTTACTACGTTCTCACTGGCTGCAGAGTTTTTGTTTAGGCTGTGAAAGTATCAGGGGAATAAGCTGAGTGTTACTTCCTGCTTTAAAGTCCACCCGTGGTCACATGTGAGGGATTCTTGCTGTTGGGTTTTTGTCAGATTAGAATGAACTTTGTCTCTGTTCCTCTTTCCAAAGGAAAGCAGGACCTCTGGTTTTGTCTCGTTATGAACTTTATAAACTAAGTGTGAATCTTTTCATCTGGTTTAAATTAAAACGGAGAAGGTGTGTTTTTTTTCTTCCGTTTGATGGCAGGACAGGTGAGTTAATGCTGGCGTTTGATACTAAATGGCTGCTGTAAAGGGAAGTGTTATGATTTGAAAACAAAACTTCCTTATGGGTATTTTTTGCCCACTTTTTTGTGCATTTTTTTTCTCTCTCGACACAGGAAATGAGGGAAATTATTTGCGTTTATTATCTGAGACATCTTCAGGGTGTAGTCTAGAAGGAAATAGGCTGGGAGCTGCAGTCAGCCAGGCGGTATGCATCGCAGCGGCTCGGAACCAGCCGCCCCCGAACCGACACCCAGACAGGGCTCCATTGTGGAGCGGCTGTCTCGGTATGGCATGCAGGTCATGCCCGCAGCCTCCCCGCGTAGGTCGAGGCTGCAGAGGCAGCAAGAAGTCACCGACGGCTCCGCTCCGGACAGAGAGTCCGTCCCGCCGGTTCTGCGTAGAAAGTACCTGAAGGAGCTTCTGCTGAGCCGGGCGTCCAGCAGCGCAGCGGGGTACCAAGTTACATTTACTAAGCTTTTTTACAATATGTGCTGCACTCTGCTTGTATTCAGTATTAATACTCTGGAGAAAAAAAGTTCTGGATTCTTTAACTGAACATGTTTTAACCAGAAATTCATATCTGCAGATTCACGCTTATACCAAAATGTCCACTTTACGTTTCTACGTAGTTTTTAAATTAAATGCATACCAAATTATCAATAGTAGTTTTAGTCGTGACTTAGTAAAGGGCTGTTTTTAACGAGTACATTTATGTTGTGGTGTAATGTTTGGATACCGAGTTCTCTTAAGCGGTGCTGCTTTTGCTCCAGTTTAATCTCTGGTCGTCTGTGCAGCAGCAGCGGGTTGCTGCAGAGCCTCTCCCCGGACCAGGAGGACTCGGACTGGGCTCTGTATCCCATGGAGCACGCCTGGATGCTGCGGGCGGTGGAGGGGAACTACGAAACCATCCTGGACTTCATCTCCGAGGACCCGCAGCTGCTGACCCGGCGGGACTTCATCAGCGGATACTCGGTGCTGCATTGGCTGGCCAAGGGAGGACGGGACGAGGTCCTACTGAAGCTGCTGCGGTTCGCGGAGCGTGCGGGCTTTGCGGTGAACGTGAACCTGCGGGGCAGCGGCGGGCTGACCCCGCTGCACGTCGCCAGCATGCAGGGCCAGTTCGCGGTCATCAAGCTGCTGGTCGGGGCTTTCGGCGCCAACGTGGACGCGATGGACTACAACGGGAAGCGGCCGTGGCAGTACCTGCGGGAGGACGCGCCGGTGGAGATGAAGGAGCTGCTGGGCACCTGGGACGAGGAGCACAGCTGCGGCTGTGCGCAAAACTTCAACAAGAACGTCAACAACAACTGCGCTGGATCAGCGAGCGAGGCCGCATGCGATGAGGCGGATGGCCAAGAGCCTGAAGAAATGAGTTACTTTGACAGAGCCAAGAGAGGCAGCTGGAGGTTCGAGTCTCTAAGGAAACTGAAATCCTCCTTTTCATTTGTTAGAAGCAAAACTTGAGATTATGCCGTACTTTAAAGGGGCAGTGTTCTGTAAAGTCAACCTATTTTAAGGTTTACATCATGTTATGTTAGTCCCTCATCAAAAACAATCCTTTAAACTGCATGGCAACCACTTAGCTGTGGAAAACACCTGAGTGGACCTAGCCCCGCCTTCGAGACGCAGCTCCACCTCAGTTTCCAAGCGTTTCTCCCAGAGCAAGCCTCCATCAGTCTGCTCCTTCAGACTAGCCAGCAGCAATTAGCAAACACCTGGTAGGACTTGTTTTATGACCTACTTCTCAGTGTGACTCTGGTAAAAATGTTGTTAGAGGGTTAATAGAGGAGCCATGTTTTGACAACTTCCTGAAAAGGGAGTTTCTTAAAGAGCCAGGCCCATAATTTCAAGACTTTACAATGCAAAATCGAATAACTTGTCATTTGATTTATACTTGATTTTTTTACAACTGAAAATAAGGCCATTATCAAAAAATAATGGCACCACGTGCCTGGAAAATAGGCAATATTGCCCCTTTAAATTATGTGAACATGCATGTTTTGGTGATTGCATCTTTTCAAACATGTAATTTTGATGAGTTGTTTTTTTTTCCTCTACATGATCTTTAGCTTATAGAAAAATCAAATCTAAAATTTCTACCGATTCATTGTTTATGAACAAAATTCTAATGCATGCTTAATTGCTGCTATCAGATTAGAAAGTACCAAATCCTGCATGATGCGTACAGTCAATTAAAATTTACATTACAGATCTGCTTTTACAGCAAGTTAGTTACTATAAGTTTGCTATGAATTGTCCTTAAAATGTGAAGAAAATCTGCATGTTGAACAATTTCACAATCTCCTTGCTGCTTTCTCAAACACTTAAGAAATAAAAGTGTGACAGACTTACTCAATGACATTTCTTGCTCATGCCATTTAAAGTCAGCAGGTTTTGTCAAAACAAAAACAGGAAACGCTTGTAAACGTCCAAATGGATCTACTGGGTTTCTGCTGTTCCTAACACTTTTTATCTGCTGCTAAATTAAGCAATTTAAATAACTGCTGTCACATTTTAAATAAATGCAAACTTTAAAGAAATAGCAACATGTTTTTATATGGGTCTGAATGCTAGTGCCTTATATTTTACACAAACGCCTCAAAGCATCTAATGCTATGAACAGGTTTGCAGTAGAAATCTGCAAAATCAAAATCTTATCAAGTATTTTTAAACATATTTGTACGAGTTTCTCATACAAATATCTCGGTACATTTGAAATAAGACTTAGCGGCTTATAAATAGCTTATTTTAAAGAAAATAAAAGTACTAGTTCAACATTAAGATTATTTCACTCAAATGTTTTTGAGTGAAATAATCTGCCAATGGAACTTGAACTTTCAATAAATTATAGACTTCAACTAAGATCTTGCTAAAAAGTTGCTTCTAAGTTAGTTTTTCTCATTTCAAGAATACTAGGATATTTATTTAACTCCACTAACATTTAGTTCAAGTCGCTGCCATGTTGGGTAAAAACAGTTTCATCTTCTGTAAGTTGTACTCCAAATATTTAATGAAAGATTGAGTCAAATGGAAATGTATTTTAAGAACATTTTGACTACAAAAGCTGCCACATGCAGTTACATACAAAATATATATTTTTAAAATTCTCATTTTTATCAATACTGCCACAAAATGTGTTTTTAGTCCACATCTCCCACCTTTAAATGCAACTGTTAAATAATCTTTTACTCCTATCACTAGAAATCATTTCCCCCACAAACTAAATTCTGCTATAGCAAAGAAAAAAACTCAACCATTTGCATTTCAAATCTGACTTTTTATTGTCAAACACGAAGAAAGCCAGAGTGTCTGTACAAAACGAACTCTGCTCCAGATGACGCAGCTCCCTCCAGACGTCTGGAGGTCGGGACAAACAGCCTCCATGTTTACAGGCCGAGCTTCGTTCTCCTCCAGTGTCTCCTCTTGGAGTTGTACCTGAAAACAAGACGGAGGGAAACGTTGAGTTTTTTCATGTTCTTAGTGATGCTTCAACTCGCCATAACATCATTTTTATGTTCTGAAAACATTATTAAAACATTAATTATTTGTCCTGCAGCTGCAGTTTCCTCATCACCACCGGGGTGAGGAAGAAGAGGAGTGCAGCAGGAGGAAGATGCTCTCAGCAGGGTTAATGACGGCACTCTACTGATGATGAGCGCTGCATTTGCAGACCTGCTTTAAATTATAGATTCCATATTTTTCTTCTATCCATTAGTCTGTGAGGTATCACAAAAACTTTAATATAAATAAATCAGGAAAACAGACCAAAATGAAGACTGATGGCCACCAACATCGACTTTTTAATGAAAATATTATTAAATCAAATAAGGACAACATTGTGTTACCAGACTGAGTGAGTTTCTACACAAATTGATTTTGAACATTTAGCTGAAAGAAAAACAAACAAAAAAATCTTTTGGGAGTATTCTTACATTTTATGCCGCTTTTAATAAGTTTTAAAGTTTTCAGAATAATTTTCTTATTGTGTGGCAGAAAAGCACAAAACCAAAATGCTGCATTTTTTAACTTAACAAAAATGAATTAATTCTGATTGAATTATGTCTGTTCAATCAGAATGTGCTGAATGTGAGAGTATCAATGACCATATTGGTCATTGGTTAATCAAGAGTCACTATGTGGCATTGTTGTAAAACAAATGATTATTCAAAAGGTCAAAGCCATGAAAACACAAGTCTAATTGTGTTCAGAGAGTCGAGTTCCGATTGGATCCCACTCTGGTAAGAATCTAATCTGATGCTCACAACAATAATGGTGTGAGAGGTTGAGATTTGAGCTGGGTTTTTTGTTTTGGGGATTTTTTGTGCTGGAAGTTGTCAGAACTGTAAACCCTGCACACAATAATCACTAGAAAGTGAGACAAGTGATGACTGGACAGCAGAAAGTTTTACTAGATGCTCCAATTTTGAGCGATGCCAACCGACCAGGCACCGCTGGTGAGTCGTTTGACGGAAAACAATAGGTTAGTTATTCACATAGATTGCTGAACTTAGGTTTATAAGCAAAGTGAATTTGACAAACTCTTTATGCAGGAAAAATCCCACTGTCTATGAGTCATTTATAGAAAAAATAAAAATGTCATTGCCATTCAAGGTTTGTACAAATCTGCAACCAAAACCTAACTTTGTGGCTTTGGAGGAATATAAAAAAACTGAGTTATGTATCCAAAATCTTCAGTAAAG